TACATTGGTGTAATTTAGAAATTAGACGATAGCACGACATTAACAAATTTATAATTTTGAATCTAATATACCGCCATAGTAAATTAGCAAGACAGAAAATGTATGACAAACAAATGATTAAAGAAGGTACGTGTGCAGATGATAAGCGTCCAGTAATTATTGAACTTAGTATTGACCGACTGACTGCTATAAATAACCAATGAACCCAGCTCGTATTTTGTCTGCTATTATAGTACTAACTTTGGTAGTCAAGTGGTAAGACTTAATATTGATTCATTCGTTCACACATTAGATCTGGATTAATGACTGTACAAATACAAAATGTAACACCAGATCAAATGTTAAATGGACATGTATTCAGAATAAATATCTTCAATGTTGTTTTATATTGTTGCACTGAAAGATATGTGATTTCGGAGCTTAAAGGAGCCGTCACAATTTTATTTTAGGACATAAAACTTGATAATTATGTAAACATTTATTTTAATCCTTTGCATCTATCTGAAAGTCTGTAATACTTTTTCAAAGTGGGCCACAAGTTCATAAAGTCGTAGAAGTAAGCGATCATCATAGTTATAAGCTAACCATACCACTAAACAATGAAATTCTTTAAAGAAGTTATGTAACCCTGTTGAACAAATGTAGTGATCATTTTCTTACAACCTCAATTTTCACAGCTAGATAATTGGTCTATATTCTCACATTTTGCCGTTTGATTTGCATATTTTTATGAACTGATACACTGAGACACAGCTCCTTTAAAACTTATGCCTGAGTGACATGTGCTTTATTGCAGGCTATAGTTATCAATCTAATCTGATTAAAATACTGATCAACCAATTATCAGCTTTGATGTTTCTAGTGGAATACCCACAGTTCCATGCACAGCACGCCAAGAACTCGCGGTAACAGACTGTTTCATTGACTAATCCGTCACTTCAATCATAACAACTCTTCCAGATCCTAGTGTAGTAAAGACAAGGAAAACGAAATTTTGAACTATAAAACACAAAACGAAATAGGATCTATGTTTTAATCAGATTGGTGACCATCTTAATATACACCGGAGTAATAGAATTTTCTGGTTATTGCTGTGTTTTAGTTTTAGGCAAAGTTTATGTTGGGGGTGGGGGCAGCCATGTTCAGCTAGTAATATCATATTGAAAATGTCTTTGCATTGTATGCTTTTATTTTTCTGAGATCTACTGAATGAAAACTAAGACTTCTTTAATAATATTATGAGCATTACATTTGTGGTAGTTACTGATAAAGTCAATTTGAATAAGACAAGAGATAACATTCGACCTGTAAAAATTTCAGTATGACCCTTTAAAATGCACTTCATGTGGGCGTTGATATTTTCTACTGACCTGATTACAGTTCTTAAAAGCCATCAAAGTTCTCTTAATATCGACAAAAGAAATAGCATGTCTCAGTTAATGGATTATTATGTACAATGACACCTTGTTATTGATCATTATTAAATCTATTATAGATAAATCAATGATCATTTTCTGCTAGGATTATAACAGCCTTCTCATAAATTGTCATACTTTGCTTTTATTAATGTGAAGTGAAAACCGTTTTGTAGATAAAGAGTTAAACATACATTATGCAAGAGCTAAATCTGCCTATTGTAGGTCTTTCTTTAGGCCTGAAATGTTATCTGAATTATTTTGATTAACTCTCAATGTCATCGCTACTCGCTAGCCTGCAATATTTAGCGGATTGGAATACATTTTGTGATGGTTAATTAAACGTAAAAATGGACAATTGAGACTTTGTTTTTTACGGTACCGACTTTGGTAATGATGACCGAGGCTAGCCTAAAATTCAAAAGCTAATATCTCGGTTCAGAGTGAAAATTTCAGCATATTCCATTTATGTTATCTGTTTCTAACTATTATAGCGAGAACTGTCAACTCTTTAATCTCCCATAATGCCCCTTTAACAATTATCCTTTTATTTTCAATTCTTTTAAAAAGAAATTCATAAATTAGGATGATTCGAAATAAAGTGACTGACATTGTATAAATCCATATTCATTCTTGTTTTTATAAGAGAGAGGCCATCATGCCTGTTCCTCCATCCCTTTCAATTTTTGCATCAAGTATTGTTTTAAACAAAACTAAACCGATCACAATTTATCTGATATATATATATATATTGGAATTACAAACTGATGTTTGACACAGAAGTAAGATTACAAGATGGAGTGTATACTGTTATGAGATCAGACAAGTAATTTGGACAAAGAGAATTGATAGCATAAATGGGTTTGACACAATATTTTAAACTCTATATGATATATAACACGCAACCAATATAATTCTTTGAATATACTGAGATAATGGGTTCTCTGCTATGGGTTTTGGAAATAATACAAGCTCTGTTTTGTCTCTTTTAGAGAAAGTTTATTGATTTGGTTGGTAATTTGTGATATTAAATATGTTCATGCATGGTTCTTTTGGAATCAACCTGTACACCAAGATTTCTAACAGATTTGATAAAATTAAAAATAGAATTTCCAATTTGAACAGAATAAGTCTTTATTATATCTAAAACAGTTTTAGTTTCAAATTTAATTACTTCGATCTTGTTGTCATTAATTTGAAGGATATTTATGTCTCCAACATATTGTTCAGGTTTTAATACCCTTTCTGGTTCAGGTGATGACTTGTGAGATATATAATTAAATTGAGTTTAAAATGCCTATTTATTTATTGTCCAAGTGTTGACGCTTTTAAAAAATTAACACTGATACAAACTTAAAAGAGCAAGCAAATCTGAAGCACTTAAAGCGATAATTTCATATTTTCTAAGAAAGTCTAAAACATGATATTTTTGCCAATTTCTCAACTGGCAATAGTGAATTATAGGATTATAATAGGATTATTCTTTAACAAGGTAGGACTGCTTATAGATACCATCTATCTTAAGGCTTTATTTTAATAAATTTTAAAAATATAACTTAAAAATATGAAAATGCAACTTTAAATGCTTAACATATTTTGAGTGGGCTGGAAGCTACCCCATGTAAACAAGGAACTGTTTTTTTAAACAAGGTGTCAGTCTTTAATGGATGTTCATACAGTATTACACCTTTATGCAGAACATTAGGACATTAAACCCCATTTCATTTCATTTCAATATACACCATTATTAATTCTAAAACGAGGTGATCACAATAGTTAAATAAAAACAATTCTAAAATCACATTAGTAAACCTTTTCAGCAAATGAAATCTAAATGTGCAGAACTCACAATTAGCATAGATAAGCAAAAACCATACACTGTGGTATTAACAAAATATATCGTAGCGCTCTACAATGACTTGTCTGCATTCATGAAAGAGTGGTAATAAATCGCTGGAAATTAGATAAGGAATATATAAAATCCAGACGAGAACTGAAATACAAATTCTGTAAACACTCAGTCAAATATTATTCAGTCCACTTAAAGGCAGATATTGAATATGTTTTATTAAAACACACTGCTCTTTGATACCAATCGCAGTGCTGAAAAACACAATGTTCTTAATATTTTCATTGTTAACACAATGTTAAGTTTCTTCGGCCCTCCTCACATTGAACAACTGTTGTCTGCAAAAGATTACTGAAACCTGAAACAAGAACTGCGATACTATTTTGACACAATTCTGAATATTTCCAAACAATGACATGGCTTTTGCGACACCACTACGATACCTTTAATTCACTTAACTACCAACACAAACCTTGTACTACTTTGGTCTCACAGCACTCATTAACCTTTGCCAATACCTACGCTATGTGATGCAAGGGTGGAATCACCGTAATTCGTCTTTTTGTATTGATGGACTTTGAATTTGATTGTCCTATATTTTATTTAAGTGAAATCTCTAGTAGTAGCAGTAGCCATTTCTGATATGAAATAGGACTTAAACATTATATACAAGAGCTAAATCTGCCTGTTGCAGATCTTTCTTTAGGCCTGAAATGTTATCTAAATTATTGATTAGACATTAATTAGCTTATCAAGACCATAATCAACTCTCGATGCCATCGTTAGCCTGTGATATTTAGTGGATTTGAATACCTTTTATGACTGATGACTAAACATAAAAATGGATAATCGAGGCTAGCCTAGAAATGAATCACTAATATCTTGGTTGAGAGTCAAGCAATTTAACTGAAATTTTCAGCGTATTCTGTTTTCATTATCTTTTTTTTAAACTATTATTATGAGAACTGTATGCTCTTTATCTAATCTTATCTATTGCCCGTTTATAATTGAGTTATTAAATATTCTAGATATTCAGAATCATAGTTCATCAGTCATTATTGAAAATTTAAAATCAACATTTATAGAATCAATATCAGCATATTGTTGTAACATGTGTATATTTTAGAAAAACCAAGAGTGTAAACATGGCAAGAAAGATAACCATAAATAAAAGAAATGTTCATGTGTATAGATATATTAACACAAAGATGCCAATATTGTGGTAGCCCAACATCAGTAGAAACTTATAATGTAAACTTCTAATGGGCATAACTGATGTTTGGATTGATAAATTTAAATGTTTTTTTAAGCTGTGCATATATGTATTCTGCTTTTATATGGTCGTACACTCTATACAGTAGAATCTGAATTCAGCAGCAACTCAAGGGAATTGTCTGACGTCTTACTACGAGGGACCTCTTAATAAAATCTCAGTATTTGTTAGTACTGATAACATTTTATGCATCAATGCTTTTTTTAATCTGGCTTTTATTCAATTTAAATTATTAATTAGTGGTGTACATTACGTATTCTTGTGATTGGAAATTGGTTTTGCACACAGTAGCATTTCAAAGACAATTCAGTCAACTGCTACGATAAAATGAATTGCATTGATCACCAGATAAAATGAATTGCATTGATCACCAGATATCGTAATCGCAACATGAGTGGAGCATATCTGTGAAGTTGTTAATGCATCTGTGAAATTAATATTGAACATGTTGCCTATTTTTCAGGAATTGTCAAAAATAACCATGCCAGTTGTTTTCAATGAACCTTTGAGTTTTCTACAGCGTCTAACAGAGTATATGGAATATTCTTATTTACTTGATCGAGCTAGTCAAACATCTGATCCCATAGAGAGATTACAGGTAATTAACTAACCTTCTACCGGTCATTACAGATGACATTCTCATCACGATCAAAAATGAAATGGGGTTTAACATCCTACTCTTCTGCACGATCGGGCTATGCAAGATGAGCATATGCCTATTACATGCATGCCAATGTGTACACAGGACCTTTTTTGTCCCATTTGAACATTGCAAACACAGCCACAGCACATGATCCTGTAAAACATGTAAGCTCAGTTATTTCATTTTAATAAGATATTGTGTGCTTGCAGCGAAAAGCTTCCATCCAATATTCACTGACAAATTAAACGAAAATAACTTTAAAATTGTTGTTTACACGCTATTCTATTTCAGTATGTGTCAGCATTTGCTGTATCCGCAATCTCATCGAACTGGGAAAGGTTAGGGAAACCTTTTAATCCATTATTAGGTGAAACCTATGAATTAGATCGGTAAGATACTTTTACTTCTTAGGAGAAAAACCACATTTTCAGTGTTGTTAATGGAATTTGTCAATTATAATAAACAACTTTCAGATTTTAGCTATTTCAATGTTTAGCAAGTTAAACAGGTATTATGTAAGAGCTAAATCTGCCTATTGCAGATCTTTCTTTGGGCCTGAAATGTTTTATAATTTATTAATTAGACATGTATTAACATGACAAGACAATAATCAACTCTCGATGACATTGGATGGCTCTGATTTTAAGTAGATTAGAACGGTTTGGCCATTTAATGATTTGATTTAAAAATGGAGAAAGACTCAAATGACCAGTATGGTGTTACGATCAATGCACACATTTTGTCAAAACTACAACCATTGATAACTTCACTCAAAATAAAGTCATTTGAATGGTATTTTCAGTTATTCATTTTGCATTATCTATTTTTGAAATATTATAGCAAGAACGGCCAGCTTTTTATCTAAAATCTTACATAATGCCGGTTGAAGTTTTTTTTCTTGCTCTCAAGTCCGGAAACATGATATCCCTAGTAATAACTACTTATTTGTGTAGCATACCGCATGAGCTTGAGATTAATGTTGTAAAAACAAATTAGAGATATGGTACATATTTGTATTGCTTTAGGGTTTTCATTTTTGAAGCTGAATACTTTATGAGCTTTATTCACTATAACAATTGAATGACCTTTCCTTTGTTTGTATGTAATTCCATTTACTCTGGACCTGAACAAAGAAAGTCATGCCCGGCAAGTGAATCTGGTTGCAAGTGAATTATTTGAATAAAGCTGTATCATTTTAGTCCCAAAATAAACTTTTTTTGTGTTGAGTGGACTTAAAACCCTATTTGTCCCTATAGACCTGTCAATTTATGAAACAAAAGGGGGTCATGTCAACCCCTAAAAAATTGCAAGAAAAGGTTTTTTGATGGTTTCTGGTAGTGTTGGGCCTACTGAATGACATCCTGAAAGTTTACCAAAATAGGAGTACCAGATAGTCTCAAATTTTTAGAGTAAATGCCAGATTTTTGAATACTTTCTACCGATACATGTATCTATGGTTCCAGTTTCGGACTGAGTGTGGTTGCATTTCTTATATTGTATAAAGGGTGTTAGTGTTTTTAGGATTTCTCCTGAATATCTACCAGCATATATTGTTAATACAGCAGTCTACAAACTACGTTAATTCCTCAAAAAGATAATTCAGTTACTTGATTTATTTAAATTTTAATTTATTTTCAGTCAAGAATTGGGTTTTAGATTAATCAGTGAACAAGTCAGTCATCATCCTCCAATCAGCGCATTTCACATCGAATCACCCCTTTATAAATTCCATGGCCAAATATATCCTAAATTAAAATTTTGGGGGAAATCGGTTGATATTAATCCAAAAGGTTTTGTCACTTTAGAACTCACAAAGTAAGTGGCTTTTATCTATTCCATTGTTTCTCTCATATGTATGTAGTTGCTTTCCTACTTTGAATGTTTCAGTTCTCATTTTTATATGCCCACATGGAAATGTGGTCGTATATTGCACCCGTCCATACGTCCGTCCGTCCGTCTGTACCACAATTTCTTGTGAACACTCTACTGACTTCAATTTTGTTGAACTTTATATATGTTGTTTATATTAGTGAGACGAAGTGGCCTATTTAATTTCAACAATTTCCATTAATTTCTTCTAGAGTTATGGCCCTTGTTGCACCTTGTGAATGCTCTATCAACACAAGTTATCATTCGATCTGTATGAAATTATATGATTAATTTAAATTAGTGAAGCAAAGAAGCCTATTGAATTTCAGCAATTGCCATAAATTGCTTCTAGACTTATGGCCCTTCTTTTACTTTTTGAACCTGGCAACCTATCTTTTTTTTTTATTGCACTTGGGTTTTAAATATATAATCATAACTACAATACTCAAACTATATTTTAAGAAATAATTCCAACCATGCTCATATTACATAATACAAATTGCAATGCATGAGCCATTATGAATGACACATTACTGGATGAGTGCTTCTATGAGCACATGTTGCTATGGAATAGGTTACAACAGTACGTTCTGACCTTAACGGTTGATGCTCAATAATGATTATATTGTTTAATTTATTCTGGCTTCATTATGCAATTTGCATCTAAAATTCTATTATTCCTAGTCATTCATTTAGTTCAAAATATTTTTTGTGGGTTGAATAGAATGATGTTAATTTGCCAATCTGATTAAAACACAGATCCTATTTCGTTTCATTTTTTTATAGTTCAAAATTTCGTTTAACTTATCTTCACAACACTATTATATTACCGGGGTTTTGGTTGATTTGAGGGATAAGCCAATTAAACAGTCTGCTACGGCGACTTCTTGCCGTGCCATGCACGGAACTGTGGGTAAACTACTAGAAACGCCAATGCTGATTGATTAATCAATGTCTGACGTCCTAGGGTCAAAAGCTGCTCGTACGACCCCTCACATGACCTTCGAATACTATTTGTCAGATCTTCATGTAGTGTAGGCCATCGAAGTATAAAAAACGAAACAAAATATAGATCTATATTTTAATCATATTGGTTAATTTGCATAAACTTTCCGCATATGTGTTATTTCTAACCATTTACTGTGCCCATTCTGACATTAGAGCTATATTTCCTCAACAGTCCAGGGCCCTGTTACATAAAACTTAAATCTCCTTAAAATCATCTTAAACCAAACTTTCATCCTAACTTAAGATAGACACGCTTCACAAAACAATTTTAAGCATTTTAGATAAAATCCACTAAAATAACATTTTAAGTTAAAATTTTATCTTAAAACTTAAAATAGTGGCATTTCACAAAACTATTTTAGGGACAATTTTAACTAAAATCAATTTTAACTTAAGACAGCTGTCACCCTCTCCTAACTTAAAATCATGACATTAACGAACATTGATTAGGGCTACGTTGTTAGATCTATTGCGACATATAGATATATTTGGAATAATGAAAATATTGCCAATGGCCTGAGTCACATAATTTTAACATACTATCATTCTCAAAAACAATTCTCATTCAATTTTTGTTCATAAAATGGCCCAACCGTTATTTTATTGTAAGGCAGTTTAAGCAATTAGATGACGCCCCAAATTAAAACCCCAAGAACAAAAACCCAGTAAACAAAACTCGTTACTATTTTATATATTACCTTATGAATCAAGTATAAATTATACTATTTTCAAATAATAGACTGAGAAAAAAAAAAACCTGAAAGAAAATCTGAACTCAATTCATATCTAATGTCATGGAATGAAGAGCATTCTTATCTATAAAAAAAAATATCTTTGTGTAGGCCTACAGTGGTTTAAAATGGCCAAATAGACATACCATATGCAAAGTATTTACTCATATGGTGTGGGGGTTATGAGGATTTGTAAAAAGATACATGTAAATCAATAATCTCCAATATATTTATTGAGAAATGTTATAGGCTTATTTGAAATTAAATTTGGGGGGTTGGATGGCCGAATGGTTAGCACGTACGCGCTGTATCATAAGACCTGTCATTGAGTCAACTGGCATGGTTTCGAATCCCCGGTTGTATGTGACAAGGAGTAGGGTCGCCTGTCCAACCTCTTGGGTTTTCTCCGGGTCCTCCGGTTTCCTCCCACTGCTAAAGACCCTTACGCGCAAGCGAATTATTGAATTAAAATTAAACCATATGTTAGTCCCGAAATGACCTAGTTTGTGACGATTGGATGTTAAACCCCATTTCTCTCTCTCTCTCTCTCTCTCTCTCTCTCTCTCTCTCTCTCTCTCTCGAAATTAAATTTTAATATCATAAATTTATTATTATTTCTTAATGAAGGCTTACGTTAATAACACAGCATAAATCATGGAAGTTTTATATAGGTAATTACAGATAGAAGATATATGTTTTGTAGTTCAAATACATTTTTAAAGCAGCATATCTTTAAATACTGAAATGAGATGATATTAAGTTGTCATTATTTTCAGATTTAATGAAGTTTATACCTGGCAGAATGTAAATTGCTGTGTACATAATATTATTGTTGGTAAATTATGGGTAGAACATGTGAGTAGTATTCTATATTTAAGTTTTTCAATATTCCTGAATCAATGGTTATGAACATATATAAGTGTGGGATGCCATTCATTTCTCCAGTAATTCATATTTCTGAAGCAATGGTTAAGACCATTATCAGCTTATTAACCATTATTACACCAACTATACAGTTGTGATTCTGGTTTCTGTGTTAGAAGTAGGCTAAACACAGAAATAAAATTGTTCCAGGAACTGGTCTAATGTTCTTTGTGTATATTACAACTTGATACGGTACTGTACTGTGGGTTAGATTATAATAAACTGTATAGTCCAAAAAGCTTAGACAAACACTATGCCAGAGCTAGACATTAATTAACAAAACAAGATCATAATCGACTCTCGATGGCATCGGATACTCAAGATTTTAACTATACTAAAACGGTTCACCATTTAAAAATTTAATTTAAAAATGGGAAAGCAAGGCTAAGTCCCGATTATACCAGTGCCTTGGTTACCACTGTGCACACATCTTGTCAAAACTACAAACAATGATAACTTGGCTGAGAATGAAGTAATTTGAATGAAATTTTCAATGTATTCTTTTTTTATCATCTATTTTTGAATTATTATAGCAAGAATGACCAAACTCTTTATTTAACTCTTAACTATTGCATCTTTAATTGATGCTGATATAAGTGATATGTGACAGATTCAGGTTTAATAGAAGTATAAAGTAAAATTTTGATTGGTTGTAGATCAACTCAAAATCGATCATCCATAATTTATGTCTAAATGTGGCTATGGTTAATACGACAGCAATGGGACCCCACTCACGAGTCACACACTGTGTAAAATATATTTTTATCAGCAAGAAGAGTGGATATATGATTTTCTGTACTGTCATATTCTCTATGTTTTTGTAGTACGGTACAATGGAGATTATAAATCATAGAACCAAACATCGAGCTGTATTAAACTTTAAACAAGGTGGATGGTTTGGTAAGGAGTTACACAAAGTTGAAGGCTATATCTATGATCCAGAGTAAGTTTCTTCTTCTCAGTTAATAATTAATGGACTATCCATTTGCATATCAAAATTAGTCATTCATTTGACAATCAAGTGCTTCATGCTAGAGAGCTGTTGTGGAAACAATATCCTTTGTTCTAAGGGTGTGCAGTGAATGAATTGAGCATACATATAAAACATTTATTTTAATTGGTGTTGTTCGATTTTTTCCAGTAAGATAAAGTTAAAAGCTATATGGGGTAACTGGTTAATGGGTTTATTCTCAGTAAATGCCAATGTGTATGATGCACATGTCGCAACATTGGCAAAAAATGCTTCACCTACTCATCAGACAAAGGTAAGCTTCAGTGTTATAATATAAATATATATGTTAGCAAATAACTTAAAATAACATAAACCAGATAATTCCCATCTATCTAAAAAAACTGAAAAAAAAACTTCAAAGATATTTTTATGTAAAAACTGTTTTTATAAAGTAATTAAGCATGTACGCATATTACAAAAGTGGCATAATTGGGATTTTTTAAAGGGTACAAATGTTTGAAATTTTATTAGTGTATTTCATCTTCATCACGGAGTATGACACCAAAAGATAAATATATTTTTATATTATTGACACATGCAAGTGATTGATCGAAGTGACCACTCTTATTACAATTTCCATCTGTCAGTGGATCTTTAACGTGCTGCCAATGGCACACAAAGACCATCTGAATGACAAGACACATTTCCCTGGCAAGGTTCCCCCATGCTGAAAAAATCTAGAGTAAATTTCTCAGCCAGTGCCATACTCACCAAGACACTGTGCCACCAAATTATGTTGTAGGAAGACTAGGTAATTCAGGTGAAAATATTGTATTTTGTAGATGAATGGAGCAGGTAATGGGGAACCTGAAGATGTTTCGGATGATATTCCATGTAAAGACTTTAATTCATTTGATCTAAATATTCCTAATCAGGTGACATTATGGCAGGCCACACCTAGACCAGAAGATTCCTCAAAGGTAACATTATCAAACTTTACTGTACAAGGGTAACATAATCAAACTATATTGTACAAAGGTAACATTATCAAACTTTACTGTACAAAGGTAACATAATAACACTATATTGTACAAAGGTAACATTATCCAACTTTACTGTACAAAGGTAACATAATCACACTATATTGTACAAAGGTAACATTATCAAACTTTACTGTACAAAGGTAACATAATCACACTGTATTGTACAAAGGTAACATAATCAAACTTTACTGTACAAAGGTAACATAATCACACTATATTGTACAAAGGTAACATAATCAAACTGTATTGTACAAAGGTAAAATGTAACATAATCAAACTATACTGTACAAAGGTAACATAATCAAACTGTATTGTATAAAGGTAACATAATCAAACTTCACTGTACAAAGGTAACATAATCAAACTGTACAAAGGTAAAATTATCAAGCTTTACTATACAAAGGTATTTTAAAAAAACTCTTCTGTACAAAATGGACTTTACAATGGTAGTGTTCACACAAATAGCATGATTCTCCAGTGTGATATAATACACCATGAGTTATTTGTGATTGTTAATAAAAATGTATTTCTATGTTACAGTATTATTCATTCACCATGTTTGCTATGACATTAAATGAACTGACTGAAGATCTAAAAGCTATATTACCACCAACAGATTCTAGATTACGTCCAGATATAAGATTTTTAGAAGAAGGCAATATAGGTAAGCTAATTACTATTGTAAGAGGATGTAAAAATGTAATAAGATGTTGTATGCCATATGTATGGAATTGGTTTCTTTGTGGTCTAAAACTAGAGATATTAAGTCAATAATTAGTCTTGATATATGTTACTTAGTGGTTTATGACTAAAGATTTTAAGGATACATTATGTAAATCTGCCTATTGCCGGTGTTTCTTTAAGCTTCAAATGTTATATAAATTATTTATTAGAAATTTATTCACGACAAGCCTATTTTCAACTCTCTAGATTATCGGTTGGCCGATATTTTAAAAGGATTTGAAGAGCCACTAGATTTAAAAATTAAACTATAAAATGGATAATCAAGTTTTAGTCTCGGTCGAAAAGTATTGTTGCTACAATAATAACCAATCTACTCTATATCATAAAACAGTCATAACTACGCCGAGAATAAATTATAGGAAGAACGGCCAGCTACTCATCTAAATCTTACATAATGTATCGTTAAGTCTGTAATTATTGTAGTTGACCTGTTGAAAAGTATACTTTTTGCCACCATTTGTAAACAGCCTTGTGTGCAAGCTAAATATTGAAATTAGATATAAACTGTTAATAAGTTAATGTGAAATAACTGGCTATATGTGTTGATGTAATGTACAACTATAAAAATGGTGTTAACGACATAGGTGGCACTGTAAAATATTAACTTGGAAAGCTCAGATTATGTTAAAATTTATTATTACCATACTTTAGATGCTGCAGCTGATGAAAAGAACAGATTAGAAGAAAAACAACGACAAGCTAAAAAAGATAGAAAGAAGAAAAAAGGAGATTGGTCACCAGAGTAAGTTGACTAACCTTAATTCTTAATATAGAAAAGGGAGGGGTGGGGAGTTGTCTGTATTCCGTTTATTCATTCTGTCAACAATATAGTGTTATTTTAATCCCATGAAATGAGGTAGGTTTCACTGGTATATTATGTAGTGTTTTGGAAATAGGAGGTAGGTTTCACTGGTATATTATCTAGGGTTTTGGAAATAGGAGGTAAATTTCACTGGTGTATTATCTACAGTTTCATGACCCTGTTTTAGTATCCTCATTCTCTGACCTAAATTAAGATTTTGCCACAATATCAGCCACAACTCAAATATATTATCTTCAGTACTCGATAAGAGTCAGTCTAGTCGTTTGGATAGGAGAAAAAAACAAGGTTCTGTGTAGACATTGGCACGCACGTGAAAGAACCCTTGACAGTTGGAATTCGATATAAAGAGTAGGCCATAGAGCCACTGTCTGGGTAAAATTTCCCTCATGGCACAATGCATAACATATGCCCATCTTCATTAGCCCAGTCGGTGTAGGATGTTAAACCCCATTTCATTTCATTTCTTTCAGAGTAAGTACAGTTCTAATTTTGTGTTGTACACCAGATTCATTTCATTTCATTGTATTTTTCTGCATTTCATACAATCTTTGGTGTTCTACTGATAGTTCCAATATAAAACCCTTTAACCCAGAAAGTAGGTTGAAGCTATCTGACAGGCTAAAAAAAAAATTCAAAGTTCAACCATTTATGTACATCTGATACTAGTCTAGATTAACCAAAGAAATCAAAATGATAGGGAAGTTCATAAGTCTGGTTAATCAAATACTCTTATGACGGTCTCTCGAGTCAGAATCAAAGCTAGTGATTTTTAGGGTTTGGCTAATATCAGGCATTAATTGAAATTACCTCTAGAATCTTAATAACCAAAAGAGAGTTCAAGTTTGATTATCCATGGGAGTTTAATTAAATATCAAGAACTTTCTAATGTCTATATTTTACACCATGAATATCCTTGATGTTTTCTTGGAAATTGAAAGTAAACTGATTAAAGAGTTTCTTCTTTCCAGGTATTTTCAGTTGAGTAAAAATTCCTACACTGGTAAAGAAGAATGGGTTTTTAAGGGAAATTATTGGCAACGTGAATTCAGTCAGTCACCAGATATTTTTTGATCCAGTCATATAATAAAATCTATCAAGTTATGATATCATTTTGTGTACCAATGAAAATCATTATGCAATTTGACTGTCAGCTTTTTCAACACATTACATTGGATTTTAAGTGCAGAATGCATTCTAGATGAGAAAAGAAGGGAATAAGAATGATTTATATATATGTGTGGAAGTGAATGAGATGCGTGTCTTAAAGCTGTAGATCGTCATTTCGGACAATATCTAATTTTCCACAGCTTATTCCCCACTAAACTGTACTCAGATTGATTATTTAATTAAGAAAACAGCAGTGGATAATCTCACAGCTTTTATTTAATCAGATTAAAAAGAAGCTGATCAAAAGATTTTAGCAAAGATTGTAGGTGGATCCTGCTTTTTTTGACCACATCACGTTTAGTATCTGCTGAGGATGCTGAATGTTTACAAATTTTCAGTTCATCATACCTTTGTAAATACTTACCGAAATTGAACCATTTGTTGACTGATGTTCCTTTAAGAGATTCCAATTTAACAATATTGTGGTTTACAAGGGATTAACCAGAGACTTAAATCTGGCGAGGGTAATTAGGCAAGATAATTATAATATCCAGCAAGACAAGAAATATATCAGGGTAATAATATTCCTATAATTTGCATCGAAATTTAAAACATGGCTGCACTAATGTTTTTATACCTATTGAAATGATTCTTAGTTGCCATAGTAACCTGATTAAGGATGATAGTAGTATTAAAGGTACAACGAGATATTTTAGGAAATATTATAAACCAAGTGATTTATATAATTGTAGGTAATTTTGTATAGTATCCGGTATGTGTTTATATACAGTGTAAATAATATATCCTAATAGACAATTTATATCAGATTTAGTTACACCACTGTGATATCCATTGGATTACATGAATATCTGATTATTTTCTTCATGAAATGAAATATAATATCGTTTGTAGTCTGAAACAATGAGCAGTGTTGGGCGCAGGATATTTGGTTAGGGGTGATACCTAAGAAAATTTTTATATGCAGGATGTCCCTCCACAATTTGTTTGTGTACACTCTAGAGGTCAAATTTTTTATCCGATTTTGACAATACTTGAAATATAGGTTTTTCTCCGAAAGATATTGGTTCCTTTCAATATTGGCATGTATCAGATCATAACTTCATGGATTAATGCCCTTGATTGTACGATATTTGCGCATATCAGACCACAGCTTCCTGGATTATGGTCCCTGATTGTACAAAAAATCATGTTTTTAGCCTTTGGTTCCTCTAGAGGTCACAATTTTTTTATCCTATTTAAAAAAAACATTCAAATATATCACCGTAACACCATAACGATGGGTGAGTTTTGATGAAACTTGAAATGTGTGTTTATAACCTGTGCATATCGGACCGTAACTTCCTGGATTATGGCCCCTAAATTGTACGAAAAATCATGTTTTTTAGCTTGTGGAACCTCTAGAGGTCACAATTTTTATACGCCCACATTGAAACGTAATTTTGTCATCGCCAAGTCTGTCTGTACAGCGATCCAGTGTCCACAAGCAATTGCTCTAGAGGCTAAAGTTAATATCTGTCTGGCTATAAATTTATATACGGTGTTTACGGTCATAAGATAAAGAAGCCTATTAATCTTCAATGATTTCCTATAATTACTGCCAGAGTTATGACCCTTGATAACTTTGAAATATCTTGTGGACGCTCTAGAGGCTAAAGTTAATATCCGATTGACTTTAGAAACAGAATTTTTTAATACTGTAAACAGTGTAACTGGTTAAGGGAGGGGGTGGGGCTACCTGGAACTTCCACTGACACTTGGGTATAGAAATGATATATATATTTAATCTGACTGTGGTGGTAAGTTTTGATATATGACGTGGGTAATAGAGACAGATTTAGTATACATGTAAATATCACCTTTAGTAATATATAATATGAAATGTTTTTGGATACAAAGGTGAACAATTATGACAATTACCTCTTTAGAATGATTTGTATATAAATATTGATATGGATTTCCGAATCTAGACTGAGAAGACTATAAATGGATTTCCAACTCACTAGACAATAAATAAATATGATTCTTTTATATTGATTAATCTTGCATTTAATATTCCATGTTGATTACGCAAGAACAATTTGGTTTGGAATTTTTCAACACAGCAATATTTGGAAAATCTCCAATTTTCATACCTGTGGGCACATATTGAATAATTTCTAGATAATTGTGTTCAAGCTTGAGTTGAAACATGTGATGTATCAATTGTATATAGAGCACTTAGCCAAATGTAGAATATATTATTGATATGTTTTATGATAGAACATAGTCATATTGATTGGTATGAATTTAAGATGAACAGTCTATTGTTCACTACAAATATCATGAAGAAACTATTTGTTATTGCTTCATCAAATTTGTAATTCTCCATTAAAAATGTGTTTCCACATTTCTGGAGCATTGATCGCTTACAATTATTGGTAAAAACAGTATGAAACATTCACATTAATATTTATAACATCTGCAGTTTGGTTTAGATTTTTGTTAAGCTATGCCGTGAATAATAATTTTGTAAAATCCCAATAGGATAAGTTTAGTCTTAGTTATTTTAAAAAACAGGTTATTCTGTGATAATTTAGAATAAACTGTATTATTTTCACTGATTTATATGATACTGAATTTTAGGATCTGAGATATTTTTGTTCGTGACTTGTTGATTTATGAAGGAGTGTATTGAAATAGTAATATATTCCTATCAAATTTAAATAATTACTAATACATTAAGTTTCTAGAATATGTCATAATATTAATACAAGTCCACTCAAGCCAAAGTTTACTATGTGTCATGAAAGTGATGTGATATCCTGTCATTCACAATTGGTGTATGAAATATACATTTCTTGTTTAAGTCTAAATCATTTATCCATGCTGTGCATATATCTAGGGCATCATTTACTTAATTACCTGGGAAATCTTCTCATTTGAGAAGTTCTTATAGTTAAAACATTTTTGTTGTACTTATGTAAGTAAAAACAGCCAATCACTCAAATAAGATAAAATTCAAACAAATATGATTAAACCAATATGACTATTAATTTCCATAAATTACAACATTTTAAAAAATTACTAAGCTCATTCTACACTTTGCTGTTTCTTTGGTAATTGATGTATTTACCACTGATTTTTAATGAAATATTAAAGATCCATGTTTATAAGAGTATATGATTTACTATAATATTTATTAGTACAGGCCCTGAGTTCACAAAGAATTCTCAGGCTTAAGTTAAGAATTTACTCAAAATGGTTCGCCTTATTTTAACTAAAATATAGCCTTTATAAAACTTTTGTTGATTTAATGTATCAAATACATCAATAAAAAACTATGTGCAAAGTTTTGTTTTTCTGGATCAAAGATATCTCTCATAAACAGTGATTGGAAGTTGAGTAAATTCTTGACTTAAGTCTGAAAATGCTTTGTGAACACAGGGCCAGGAGTTTTATATCTCACAATCATTTAAGGGTTAATAAATAAAGTGCACACTTTTATGTGTAGTGTTGAGTAAAGAAGATCTTAACATCAGGGTGGAATAAACCTGATGGATACAAATATAGGGCTAAGAAGAAAAAAATATTTTTATACTATCAGGGCTTGGGTAATGGTAATGCTATGTAATCATTACACATTTTGATGGAAGATTTCAAAATGTTATGAGTAATAGAAATGTAATTATTTACATTCCCCATAAAATATAATGATTAATTACATCTCAATTAAATAATGGCTATCTGATACAAATCCAATACATTGAACTAGTTTATGTTTGTATATTTGTAAATATATCAATGTAGATTTATAGGACATCATATTTGTAACTGAGACTACAGGGGGTATGTAACATTAACTACTGGTGATAAAAATACTTTTTTAAATGAATAATATTCTAACTAACAATCCAAACTACTGACTCAGATCATTATTCTTGTTTGTCTATTTTAACTTGATATAATGTAGGATTATTTCCCAATCTGATTAAAACACAGATCCTATTTCGTTTCGGTTTTTATAGTTCAAAATTTCATCTTATTTGTCTGTACTACATTAGGATAGGGAAGAGTTGTTATATAACCTGCGTTCTGGATGGTGTGAAGGATTAGCCAATGAAACCATCTTTTACGGCGACTTCTTAAATTGGCATGCGATGCATGGAACTGTGGGTAAACCACTAGAAACGTACAACCTCTGACACAAGCTTTTACTACAACCGGTCAGATCTTCATGTAGTTTAGGCCATCAAAAGTATAAAAAAAACGATACGAAATATAGATCTGTATTTTAATCAGATTGAATTATTTCCATGAGCTGTTCTCGGATTTGTTTAATTAAATAATAATTTTGTAAATGAAATATTATTTATGGACCATCTATGGGGGTCACGGTAGTGGAGAGGTCATCTATGGGGGTCACGGTAGTGGAGAGGTCAGGTTTTAATTTTAAAAACAGAATGAAGTAAATAATGGGTAACCATCACAAGGCATACATGAGTGATTTTAGTATTTGGTTGCACTCTTTATGTAAGTTTTGCACACTACAACTTAAATGTAAGTGACATGTCTATATTTAGTAACTTGTTTGTTGTCGATTATCGTAAATATAACTAGAAATACTGGCATATTAAACATTAAGACAACTAAACAATATTTTTCTAGAATTATTATATTCATTAATGTTACATACTCCAGTTGACTAGGATCATACAGGTAGAAAAACATGTATTGATTTAGATAATCAAATAAAATGTAATGTAAATGTATCATATATTTATAAATATCATTGTTATATATTATACTACAAAAAAAAAACATGTGATAGTTAAAACAGGGACCAATATTAATGTAAATTTAGAGTATAGCAGGTTTATATTTTTCAGAAGAAAACAACATTCGTACATGCTCTTAAAACATGTTAAAATGAATGATTTTACACAAGGTAGTTAAAATCTTTTTTGTATGATTTTATGCAGATTTGACTAAATCGTACTAGGATGATTGTTATATATACTTAAAATCATACTAGAATGTTGTATTCATTAAGTGTTATTTAAGAGTCAAGAGCTAGGCATTAAGTTATATATTGATAGTCACAAGAGCATGAGCCTGAGTGTTGTATCAAAATATTTTATGCAATGTCTTGTTCGAGACCATTAAACAACTTAAAATGCAGACACTACCCTGCAGATGCATTTCAATGAAGCTGTCACACACCTTTCAATGAAAACATGACACTAGTCCAATATTTCATCTAGTTTAAATAGTGTACGATTATCAGGTTGCCCGTATTTGAAATATTGGTACACCAACATCAGAGGATGACATCAAAGCTGTATTTTAAATCTAATTAATCTTGTTATATATACACTGTTACCATGATAGATAACATATACTTTATCATGATTGTTGTAAAGTATATTTAATCAAACTTAAGTATATTTACTTAATCATGATAGTAAGCAAATTTGTTAAAATATTTATTTACAAATTATGATACTAGTATGATTAATCATTCTAGTATGATTGTTACAAATTATATACTTTATCATGCTGGTTGGTTGGTTTAAAATTTATACTTATTCAGAAGCATGTTAAAAATGTTGAATAATAAAAACAGACAGTATATATTTACTTAGATGATGTTAGATTGGCTGTTACAGATTATACTGTATGTTAAAGATGTATTATTTGTTTGAGCAACAATAAACTAGTTATTATATTACTTTCGTTTGTTTGGTGTTCATGGCAGTTTTTTGATTGTTTTCTTTGAAATAAATATTCAGTATTTTCTACAATTTGCATTTTCAAAAATCCAAGGTGAATAAAGTAATAATGCTGATTGGATATATACAGTATCTGGAGATAATATGATAATTATAGTATTTTATTATGGTCCAATTATTTATTCCCTGAAATCTATCCCCATGGCAGTACAAATTTATCTTGGCAGCATTTGAATAGAAATCTTATCCCTAAATCTGGGGATCACGTTGCTAAGTGGGTAAGACGCTAGCTGGTGTCGGGTAGAAAATGTATTGACGGGTTAAAATGACGGTATGTCGGATGGTCGCCTTATAAAGGGCTACATCACGACATGATACCAATCAGCCACCATAGTAATTGGTACTTTTTCCAAAGTATTAGGGAGAGGGGGGCGGTGATGGTGTGCGCTATAGATCATAAGGTCATAGATTTAAGTGACAGTGGTTCCAATACCGCTCTTGAATGTGATAGGGGATCACGTGGCTAAGTGGGAAAGACGCTAGCTCGCTAGCCTGGAGGTCGGGTGTTCGACCCCTGCATTGGCCGAGAAAGTTCATCCAGATTTTCCGGCGTGGTTCTCCCTTGTCAGTGATGCAGGACGGATGGGCTGACAAGGAAAGCTGTCTAGTCGTTCGGATGGGACGAAAAACCGAGGTCCCGTGTACACATTGGCGTGCACGTAAAAGATCCCTTGGCAGTTGGAATTCGATATAAGAGTAGGCCGTAGTGCCGCTGTCCGGGCAAAATTTCCCTTATAGCACACTGTATGGCGTATGCCCGTCTTCATTAGCCCAGGTTAGGAGCAGAACAGTAGGACGTTAAACTCCATTTCATTTCATTTCATATCCCTAAATCCTGATTATCTTGTTTATTTTTTGTACATGTAGTTCATGTATAGAAATTCTCTGTAAATTTTTGTTTGTTTGGGGGGGGGTCTCCGATTTGCACTGAAGTACAGGGCCCAGTTTCACGAAATTGTAACAAAAAATAAAATCCAAATTTTAGTAGATACTTAAATTTGAATGGCTAAGCACTAAAATCAATCTAATATTACCCAATCAAATTACTAAAATTTGGATTTTATCTTAGTTAAAATTTCGTGAAACAGGCTCCTGGTTTGCTGGGAGATTTCTGTAAATATTCCAATATCGCAGTATTAAATCGCTAACAGGCTCCTGGTTTGCTGGGAGATTTCTGTAAATATTCTAATATCGCAGTATTAAATCGCTCCCCATTCTTCGGACGAACGATACCAAAATTTGGAATGGTTCAGTAGTCTCTAAGCAAAATCTGATTACCTTGGAATTGTCATCAGGGTCTAACTGATGTGTAATCGTCGAAACAAAAAGTACAACACAAATCCATGTTAACTGGTATCAAAACGAGATGTGAGTGCGAAAGTGGGCATTGTATAACGTTACACACAGACAGTAAAACGGGTATGCAAGAGCAGAACTTCTATCCAATTTCGGCTCTACAAGCAGGGTTCTTTTATGTGCATGAGATCCATGAACACGGGAGATCGGTTTTTCGTCCCGCCCGATTCTAGACATTTTTCCTTGCTAAGCTCCCCGTCCTGCCAGACAAAAAAGGGGAGCAACCCTGAAAAAATTTCGGGAACTTTCTCGGCAAACATCAAGATCGATCCCCGGATCCCCTCGTTATTTAGTTAGCGCTTAACCCACTGAACCACCAAAATCCACTTTCATTGAGAGAAAATCCTAAAGGAAGTCGTATGTGTGTATGGTTGGTCTGATTTATAATCCCCTTTAGACATTGCGTCCAAGTGTGACGTCATCCAAAAAAGCGACGTTGAAGAGTGTAATTCATTTTAACGAAAAATTAAAATAAGGGTATGGGTTCAACACTTTATTTAGAAATATTATTACAAATACATGTTTTGGCAAAAGGCCTTTAATTAATTCCTGTTTATGCTCAACCTAGGTCAGTTGTGGCCAACAGTGGGCCATTCCAAGTGGCACATATTGATAATTAACTAATATTAAAAACAAAAAACATAATACAAGCTTGGCGAAATCAAAACAGAATGAAAAGTTTCATAATTGGTAAATGATATACAATATACGTAAGTGCTCTCCATTTCTTAACACATCTGAAGTCGTATGAATAAATATTTGGCACATTGTCATTTGGTCGTAAAACGGTTGACCATCCCTGAGCTAGGTTATTCTAATCAGCGAGGAACAACTAATCAGTGGGGCAATACTAATTATTCATTTTCAATCCTGCGAGAAAGTCTGATACTAGTTATTTTATAACTAACGGTGCATTACATTTTAGTTGTGCTAATTACGCCGCCCTTCACTCCTCTGTCCTCCTCTCTTACCTTCAATGCATAACCTTTGACAAACCGTGATAATTATAAACGCATAGCAGATAGGTTAGTTAGTCCAAATGGAATTAGCACGGGACGCCCACACCTCGAGAACGTATATTTATTGACACAAGTTACTAAAAGACCAGTCCAAATCCATATCATCAATATGTGGTACCTCTTCTAGTATTTCTCCACCAGTATGCTGGCTCATCCTTCTTAATCTAGCTTCTAGATATGTTTTTATAACTTCATACTCTACTTTCTTCAAACACATAAACTCCATATTAACATCGACCAGGGCTTGGGTTGCTGACATCCTCACTTCCCACATCATCTTAAGATCTTTTCTCTTAGCTGTCTCGTATCTCGCCTCAAAATCAATCAATTTACTTTCCAGTGTCGTTATTTTGTTCTGTGTTCTCTGGTAAGAAGCCGCAACTCGTTGTAAAGTCACACTTAGTAGTTTTAGACTTCTAGTGGATGGTACAGGTTGTGGGTTCATCATCATATTATAACAAGCCATCTTGATTCTTTTCTGAAGAGGTAAATAATGGTAAGTTATGAAAATTGACATATGGGAAATAATGAAATGAACAGTCTTTAACACCCATTCAACACAAAACAGGCCATTCCAGGAATAATATAATATGATTCATTTCAAAAATTAGCTGGCGTATCTATTATTAGTGTGAAGGTACCGGAGATCCAATGCGGTTAAAGAGATTACCCCACTCATTGATTGTCGCCACAGCATCGAAAGTGCACTTACACAAAGGCCTTTTTTAGTGTCTTTTAAATAATGTATATTTCATTTAGAAAATCCATTTATGTTAGTGTATATTAGAACTGGGAGTTGTTTTATTATAACTGTGTATATTAACACTTGAGGGTGTTTCCATTTTAATTGTGTATATTAACACTGGAAGATGTTTCTATTTTAATTCTGTATATTAACACCAGAAGATGCATCTATTTGAATTGTGTATATTAACACTAGAAGATGCATCTATTTTAATTGTGTATATTAACACTAGAAGATGCATCTATTTTAATTGTGTATATTAACACCAGAAGATGCGTCTATTTTAATTGTGTATATTAACACTAGAAGATGCATCTATTTTAATTGTGTATATTAACACCGGAAGATATTTCTATTGTAATTGTGTATATTAACACAGAAAGTTACAAACTGTGGAAGTTACTGGTATTTCACTTTGCGTGCGTTCAGCAAACGATTAAATTTAAGGTTGAACAATTTATATTTTAGTTGTGTTTTTAGCTGAATTATTTTAGTTTTAAAAAAAAAGGTTTATAAATACGCAGATTTGATTACACCAACAAAAGATTTTCCTTACCTCAAATCCTTTAACAAAAATATCCAGTTATACGTTCATGGATCATATTAAAGAAACGTAGCCTATACTATTATCTCGAAATAATTTTGTAAGAAAACCTACTGTGGATAGCTTTAGGGCTGTGGATGTGTTAAGGGGGATGAAGGTCAAAGGTTATTACATAATAACTACTTCCAATTTATCACTCCTTCGTAACATCCTTGTAATAATCCTACCATTAATCATAATCGTGTGGCTAAAACTAACACCTAATAATTTTTCGAATAAGTTACGAATATTTGATTTCAGTGACTTGACAAAATTTATAATATCCTTTATAATAATTTTAGAAAATTCATTTTCGCATGCCTGTTAAATTTAGAAGATTTGTGCCTAAATTGTGCAAATCATAGCTAGTCTGTTAGACATTATGTACAAATATAAAGAAAAGAATCACCAATTGTACAACATGATTATTGTCAATTTGATGTCATTATGTTGTTTACGTGTGTATATTTAAAACATTGGATATTTTACTTATTTATATTTAAAACACTGTTGGATATTTTACTTGTGTATATTTAAAATAATGGATAATTTACCTGTGTTGCACAATTTGTATTGAATTTATAGGAAAATTGCCGGGGTACTTACCTGAGATATGCTGTAATTTTAACTTGCGAATTCAGGTTATAAATGAATAACTTTGGAGACACTACACTTTTCACTTTAAATATAAGGAACAAACAAAACACAGTCGTTTTCGATAATAACTAGGCACTGGCATACGGTGAGGGCCTGAGGACGTTCAGTAGATATTTGGCTAAAATGTATTGTATATTCCTTATATAGGTGTGTGTGAAATACATTTGTTTAACGTCCGCTCCCACCGAAATGATTTTGGTAGAGTACTACCCTTTCAATATATATCACTAAGAAAACAGAAATCCTTCATTTCCGACAATTTCAATATTGTAATCAAAACAGAATTTAATACCGACATTACAATTGGACGTTGCCCTGTACCCAAACGATATTTAATCCAACAGATTAACGTAATCTATTCCGGATTAATATCTGCTACATCTCAATGAAGTGATTGGCTGACTAATCACCGTGATTTGAGTAAAATGCTTGCATCTCATTTTAAATATTAATGTTTCTGATTGGTTAATAAAATTGGGTCTGCCATTTTAAATCTAGCTTTGACATTAACCATATCACCGAGTTTGGAATCGGACCATAAAACCCATTTTAGTCAAACATTTTAGGCAAAAGCAAAACTCTTACTCTCACAAAGGTGATGCATGCGATACTTACAAATTAGGAAGCGGGCGCTTTTATTACATTAAGTCAACTGGCGTGGTTTCGATTCCCCGGTTGTACGTGACAAGGAGTAGGGTCGCCTGTTCAACCTCATGGGTTTTCTCCGGGTCCTCCGGTTTCCTCCCACTGCTAAAGACCCCTACGCACAAGCGAATTATTGAAATAAAATTAAACCATATGTTAGTCCCGAAATGACCTAGTTTGTGTCGAATGGACGTTAAACCCCATTTCTCTCTCTCTCATATTTCCGTTTCATGTTCGTGCAATATAGTACGGTTTGTAAATGGGTATAGAAACACCTGATAATAATACTATGTCCGACAAAAAGTTGCGAGAAAAGAACCCACGACACTTGGAATTAGAACTAAGAACCATAGCGCCGCAGTCTTGGCAAAATTTCCCCCATAGCACACTGTGTTACATAGTCTATACCCGTCTTCATTATCCCGGCTGGTGCAGAAAAGTAGGATATTAAATCTCATTTCAATTCATTTGTCTGGGCTAGGTAAACGCGCGGGTTCACTTTCAGCGTTCAGTCTCCTAGAAGTCCACGCCTGATGGTATTTATATCATTTCTAGGTTTTGACAGACAAGTAATCATAACCATCAACGACCATGTTACTCTTTAGACCGAGGCATCGATCACTGCATCTCAGAGGGCCATTATACTAAGACACAATTATAGTGGATTCCCCCCAAGTGACGGATCATGGCGAGGACGACAGAGGTAAATGCCTCGGGCATTATTTTGTAGAAAAGAATAATGAAGACCCATTTCCCCAAAATCGTGAAATAGTGGCCTTTTTTCGATGAGTTTTGAAATTATTAGGTAGGGGGACCCCAAGAGGCATATCGGTCAGAAAAAAATAACATCAACGATTCCACGTTTGGTGGGTTGGCAGCGGGAAGTTGATATCAGAAATGTTTCCATAACCCGAAATATTATTTCTGGTTGACCGGTAGGCCTAACTGTCTTGTTAATCGTCCAATATTTCCGTCGGCCCCCCGTTTCTCACTCAACCAGCTCACTTGGCAACAAGAATCGCGAACCGATGTCATCGAGCCCGGACTGACCCGTGTGCCAATGTTCCTATATGCAAGGGTTCAAATGGCCCTTGATTTTGGAAGGTGCTGAATTATATACACGATAAATATCCTCTAGATTATCAAAAAAATTTAATTCATTTAAATCAAAATGACATGAAAAAATATATAAAATGAAAAAGGGATCATATCAAATTTCGGTTTTAAAGATTTTTAAAATTTAATTGCTACAAACTATTCAAGAGTGGGATGTGAATTAATTATGTTCTGTAATTTCCCTTTGACAAAATATATAGTTAATAAAATAACAACAATAGAAGATATGTAATAATATGCACAACTATCAAAATTATTCACCGGCATGTTCACAAAGCCGTTCGACATACGTCGGTACCTTAAGCAGTTCTTGATTTTTACCCCCACCCCTCTCCAGCACACATACCATCCCAGAGTGTTACGGCCATGACTATTCTTCAAACATAATTTGATTTGATTTGATATCAAGGATAAATAATACACCGGAGATGATGCTGGCAATTGCTGCTATTATCATAAAGGTGAAGGCCCAGGACAATCGAAGAAATGTATCATCGTATTCCGCTCCAAAAATGATTACTCCCAGAAACATGAAACCACCTGAAATAGATTACATCTGTTTTTGTTTCATTATGTTTCATTCAGAAAAAATATAGTACATAATATCTGCAGTTAACAATTCCAGTTAAAGATACATTATGGAAAATTAGATAAAGAGCTGGTAGTTCTCGCTATAATATTTAAAAACTAGATGATGTAAATGGAATATGCTGAACATTTCAGTCAAATTACTTCACGCTAAGCCGAGAAAACCTTATTTAAAAATCACTATAGCCTCGATTGTCATTGCTACTACCCCTGTCACGATAATTAACAAAGTCTCAATTATCTACTTTTGCGTTTAATCACCAATGGCCGCTGAACATTCCGCATTTACCAGTTACACATGCATCCCGCCCCTAACTGATGAATATAAAAAATCGTGGAGGGGACAGGTAAATATGCTTACATACATCAGCGTGAACGCTTTCACCGACTGGACGGCTGTTGGTGAGCCCCGACAGATTGCCTTTGAGCAGAATGCAAAATTTTGGCACCCAGATTCCCAACGTCGGTGTGTTAAGCATTAGGCGAAGGATTTCAAAGAATGATAGCAAATACCTGCGATAAGGGCTAACAATCCTGTTATTATCGTGAACAGTTTTCTTCGTGTTGTTGACGACCGGAAGTACGTCAGTGATGCCATAACACACGAACCAATTACAGCCATAAATCCAAGTATTTCCATAGCAACCACGGCCTTTTCCCACGCTGAAGAACACATTTTGTAATTAAATTATCTTATATCTGTCAGATCTGGTCGACAAATACCCAGTCCCCATTATTTGGGTGAAAAATATTTAAATAAATATTTATATCCGATTCCAATATCAAATTAGATTTTCCAAACCGTGTAAATTCGGCTTAAAGTGGAGGCTGAGATAATGACAATTCGTAGTCCCTTTTGACTTCTCTGTTGTGTTGTTTTTTTTAACAAGGTTAAAATTAGTAACTTAATATTTAACTCCATAAAATATAATATTGAGAGTTTATTGTTTGAGTACAAATATAGCTGATAATTAATTTTCGAAATGTTTCAAATTACATAACATAAACTGACAATACAAGGTTGTGGGGCGGAAGGGGGTGGTCATACGCCATTGCAAATAAGCACCAACCAATTGGCGTCGAACCATCTATGCGAGCCAATTCGAACACTGTTATTCTATGTGCTGCAACAGATGAATTTTATGTAAATATATTTTTTACCTTGTGTTGTACTGATATCTGTATGTACACATTCATCTAATATGTCATAACATGTCTGCCACAGTCCATACCACACATTACCAAATATGGTTATATTTCCAGACAACCAATATGGACTCACAAAACCAATGAAGAAGAACAGAAGAGACACAGCCAATAGAATAAAGGCTAAGGTAGAAGATAGGGTGCCAGACATCGTCGACGGTAATTTTTTCTAATCCTGCCTGGAAATTGGGAATGCGAATATCATTTTAATTCTTTTTTCAATTTTAATGGCACCTGGCAATTGTACTGGAAATAAAACATGGAATAAAAATTTCTGTTTATTATTGAGCTGTTTTGAGTAGGATGTTCTAGTCTTGATCTAGCAAATGAATTGTGTCCCGTGTTTTCTTGTTGAGAAGAAGTAGCTTGTTAATTCGGGGTGAAAGATTCTTGATACATTAAACCTAGTGCTGTTCACCTAGTTTTGTGATAATAATTTCCCTAGTAATACTAACTTTCATTTACCATGCTGGGTTGATCAATCTCAAGCAAAATTCCCCAAATTCCTAGACATGTAAATGTCCAAACAACCAAAATTCCCCAAATTCCACGACATGTAAGTGTCCAAAACAACTGAATTATTATCTGGGATGTCAATCCGTCTTGAATCGTCTCGATCTAAAAGTACCGAGCTTTGACTTTTGTTAGAATATCGAATGTACCATGCATGTTCTACAATTAACGATGACAAATTTTGCCGACATACATATATTAAGACTGTATATAGAAATACACCATACCTGTTTAGCCTGTCTCCTTTATCTAAGTGTTATTGTTCTTTAACAGTAAACCATAATCTTCATATTAATTATATTAAGTATATTTGTTATTTGTAATGTTGTTGGCTTGTTGCTAGATATTAATATCTTGAGAATTATGAAAATCTTGTCTTGAAGTGTATAAAGAGGGAAAATTTACACTTATAGAACAGTAAAACAATATAAATAATCAATTTATACAACTTTTATTATCGCGAACCTTTTAAAGGGACAATTTTACTTTGTTGTCATTTCACTATGTAATTGCGTGCGTTAGATTGCGAGCCAAATCTTCAGGTCTATAACCTACAGATGGGTGAAGTATATCCGGTGTCGCAGTTGGCCCGGTCAGATTGTGTGCCAAATCTTCGGGTCTATAACCTTCAGACGGGTGAAGTATATTCGATGTCACAGTTGGCCCGGTCAGATTGTGTGCAAAATATTCAGGTTGATAACCTGTAGAAGGAAGCGAAATTCTAGCGATATATTCAGTGTCCCGGATTGACTCGGTACCAAGTTAGATTATATGCAAAAGCTTCAGGCCAGGCCCATTTCAAAATCAGGACGTTAAACCGTGTTCATTTCATTTTATTGACCGAAAATGGGGGGTCCACTTTAAAGACAGCTATAAAAGTTATGTGGATATCTTTATTTCATGTAGTTGTTTTTCTTTTACCCTATCATGTCTAGTTTTGGGTTGGTGCAGAACGGACAATATTGTTTTGTATGAATATCCGACCCAACACATTTCTCACACGTGAAGAAATTGTCAGGATCCCACTTCTGTTTGATGGATAAAAGTCGATTGTAGTTGTCCCCCCAAAACTCTGTCTTCCACTCTGTAACGTTTTCAGTGGGCTCGTTAAAATAAATCCCCCCACCGAACCCCTTCAATTGGTCCCCGTTCTTAAGACCTGCTTTAGAAGCAACATCATCCAATTTAGTATCCCCCCATACTAGCGCACAACTCAGAGAATGTGAAGCTGATCTGAAACCAGGGTTAATAGAAGTTGCGTCTTTTGGTTGGGATCTCATAGCACCTGGAATATACAAATTAGTGTTATTTTATTTTGTGTCTGACTTACCAATGTTAATTTTTCGATCTGTCTATTCGGGTGGGTACGCTCTCTTACGAAAAGCCCCTTCTTGGCATGTGGCAGCTTAAAAGACATCTTGATAGACATCCAATCAAATCTCTCGATAAAGTCATAGATATATATATAGGCGACCTTTGACTGAATGACGTAAACTGTATATTTTGCTTTGTGATCCTACAGTCTATCACATTCAATGAAATGAAATGAAATGGAGTTTAACGTCCTACTGTTCTGCTCCTAACCTGGGCTAATGAAGACGGGCATACGCCATACAGTGTGCTATGAGGGAAATTTTGCCCGGACAGCGGCACTACGGCCTACTCTTATATCGAATTCCAACTGCCAAGGGATCTTTTACGTGCACGCCAATGTGTACACGGGACCTCGGTTTTTCGTCCCATCCGAACCACTAGACAGCTTTCCTTGTCAGCCCCTCCTTCCTGCATCACTGACAAGGGAGAACCACGCCGGAAAATCTGGATGAACTTTCTCGGCCAATGCAGGGATCAACACCCGACCTCCAGGCTAGCGAGCTAGCGTCTTTCCCACTTAGCCACGTGATCCCCTATCACATTCAAGAGTCAAGAGCGGGATTGGAACCACATGTCACTTAAATCTATCACTATGACCTTATGATCTATAGCGCACACCATCACCGCCCCCTCTCCCTAATACTTTGGAGAAAGTACCAATTACTATGGTGGCTGATTGGTATCATGTCGTGATGTAGCCCTTTATAAGGCGACCATCCGACATACCGTCATTTTAACCCGTCAATACATTTTCTACCCGACACCACGACATTAAAAATGTCGTAATGTCGCGTAAAAATGGCGTGATTCCTCTTTGACAGTAGTGCAGGACGGAGGGCCTGGCAACGTACATATAAGCGTGCACAAAAATGAGCCACTAACAGTTGGAATTCAGCAGTAGCCCCGTTATCCGGGGAAAGTTTAGCTTACAGTGAACTGTATAGCGTATGTCCGTCTTAATTAACTCGGTCGGACCAGAACCTACTTTTTCATTTAATTTTCCCACTTTTCTGCAACAATCGGTCTTTTCAAGATAGGTATACGCTATGCAGAGTACTATGACGGGAATTTTCTATGGACAGTGGCATTTCTTCATTGATCTCCGACTGCGAAGGGCTCTTTTATGTGCACGCCAATGTGTAAAAAGCGACTTGTGTTTTTGTCCCATCTAAACAACTGGGCAATGTTCTTTGCCACGCCCTTCGTGATGCACTACCGACAGTGAGAAACCACGCTGCAAAATCCCGGAACTATGGCAAGCCAAAGCGGAATTAATTGCAAGACCGTTTTGTTGCATGGAAAGCGAAAAAATCGAGTATATAACAATTTTTTCATCACCTTCAAAGCATTTTATTCTGTACAAAACGACGTATAAAGATTCAATAAAGATTATTTTTTTCTTTATTGATATACGTCGTTTTGTACAGAAAAGAAATGCTTGGAAGGTGATGAAAAAATTGTTATATACTCGATTTTTTCTCTTTCCATACAGAAAAACGGTCTTGCAATTAATTCCGCTTTGGCTTGCCATACGGAACTTTCTTGACCGACATCTTGACCAGGATCAGTGTACATAATCATACTTTATCTTGAGAGGAGCATGGACGACAATCCGATATTATCACATTTTAACCCGACAATACAACATTTTTACGCGACGTTACATTTTTAATGCCGTGGTGGATGTCGGGTGAAGATGTCGTATTGTCGGTTAAAATGTCGTGATTTCGGGTTGTCGCCTCGTGAAGGGTGACATCACGACATCACGACATGATACCAATCAGCCAACATAAATTACTGCTGGTCTTACCCCCTAAAATAGTATCTGTACAAAACATCTCAGAACCATACGGTGGAGAAACCAACTGGGTGACCAAAGTATCTACCATCCCATCATAATCAGTGTCATCTTGAAGAAGAGAATTAAATAGATATATTCTATAACCACCTGTGTCAGGCTTACTGTTTTTCTCATAATCCCAGAAGTTGGTACGGTTCACCAGCCCATACGTAAATGGGGGCACTCCAATCTTCTCTAAAAGCATCTTGGCTTCGTCTTCAAGTTGAGGAGTATATGCACCATAATGAACAAGAGCTATGGTCACGCTGCCAAAGTTTGTCAACGTGGCATCAAGGGGAGCGTCGTTGAAAAGCATATAACCTCCCCATCCAGGGCTCATAGACTTCATTAACTGGTAAAATGTTTTGAGAACCTTTACACCGGGGGCTGTCTTCTTGACGAACATTGGGTACACTGCATATGCTCGAAGAAATCCACTAGGAGCAGGATGAAGCTTGAACGTGAAGGATACCACAACACCCCAAGTACCTCCACCACCTCCTCTCAAAGCCCAAAAGAGGTCAGAATTAGTAGTTTCGGTAACCGTTCCGCTGTCTTCATAAACCTTCGTACCGGCGGCGGAAGTCGTTACCAATTTTCCGTCAGCTGTTACTAATGTTACTTCAAGAAGGTGGTCCACGGCTAGTCCTAGGCTTGTACTAATTGGACTGTGACCACCGCCTTGGCTGTATCCTCCCATACCAACACTCGGATCGGCACCACCAACTATCACTCTTTGATATTTATCAACCTGAAATCATTCCAGTTTGTAATTGTATTTTAATAGCAAGGCCAAGAGAAATGGAACACACATGGATAGATACCAAGAAGATTTAGGGACTATCGCAAAATATCAACACATGCATCCAAGCGAATAACAAATAAATTAAATGTTGAATCATGAATGGAAATATTTCAACATTTTCTTACTCTGTCGGCGCGGATTCGTTTGGACGCAAGTGTTGACATTTTGCGACTGTCCCTAATCCACGAAAAAAGACCAGAACAATATAACACACAAGCAATATTAAATATTTCCCTCTCTCCCGCAATGCTAGAATATACTCCAAATTAAAAGAAATGAATGGTGAACTATTGTAAACTTATATACAAATATAGCCACAGGATAGCAGTGTAAAATGAAAGAAAGAACTTCCCAAAACACTGTATTATTTTGGTGTATATCGTGATCAAAAACAGACAATGTTCGATATAGATATAAAATGATTATGCGTTTGTTATAACGCTACATCATAGTTAGTTATGATGCCAGATTTTTGTTACTTCAGCTCCTGGTTTAGTCCGAAAAGTTCCTCGGGATTTTCCGGTAGTGCAGGACGGAGGGCCCGGTAAGAACAATGTCTAGACGTTCGGATCAAAAAAAGGTCCCCTGTGTACACGTAGGCGAGCACGTTACGAAGCATTGACAGCGGGAATTCGATATAAGAGTGGGCTGTAGCGCCGCTGTTCGGGCAAAATGTCGCAAAAGTCGCAATTAAACCCCATTTCACTTTTATTTGGTAAAATAACGTCTTACCTCTTGATAGACTCGACCCCATGTATTTCCACTCTCTACAGATATTTCACCGGATGCACACCGTGTAGAATTTAGATTTATCTTGATTCCACGCATCTTAGAGAGATTTATCAACAGTCCTCCTGACACGGTGGAGCGACCGATGTAGGAATGACCAGTAGATTGGATGGCCACTAGGAGATTATGCTGTTTGGCGAATCGAACTGATTTCTGTACATCTTGGACATCATTTACAAAGACGATGAGTCCAGGGTATTTGGTAACTCTACGATTCTGCATGAGAGTTGCATTGTTAAATTCAGGATCTTGAGGTTTCAGTGCTGTGCCTGTGAGGGATTTGATAAAGGTATCAATGTCTGAAAGCTGAGGACCTTGACAGATCGTTCCACATGGCGACGGTGATCCGTTTAACAATCTTAAATCTTGAACTAACAACACGAAGAAGAATAAAAGCCTGAAAGAAAACCAGAACATCTACAAAATACGAAGTCGATCTTGTAAGAATCATGAAAGTGTTATTTTGGAGATTTACATATTTTCAGGACATTATCAAGCTAATTATATGCATTCAGATTCAACAAAATGCTGCAATGGTGTATTGCTTTAAGATTTACTTTTCAATCTCGACATTTCCAGCCTACGTTAATCACACTGCGATTGCGATGACTATGGGTCTTAACAAAATGGATCCCATCTCTTGCCTGTGACATCATTTATGTAGAAAAAGAAGTTGGAGGAAAAGCCTTGGTTCACCCTTGTTATCACTGACAGTTGTAAACGCCACTGTCCGGGCGAAATTCCCTTCATAGCACACCGTAAGTTGTATAACAGTCTTAAATTAACCCGGTTGATGTAGATAATTTATGATGTTAAACCCCAGTTCATTTTGAAGTATTTCATTCGCTGTTATACATGTATATTAAACAATGACTATATATTATAGGTCAACATACACATATGTAACGTATAAAATTACATATATAATAAGATTACGAAAAAACATATAATCAAGTGTTAGAAAACATCAAGATCAAGAAAGGTACGATAACCCACTGCTTAGTTTAAATTTTGGGAAACCGGCATGCTATTTTGTCCAGGCTAATATTACCAGGGGAACTCAAGTTAGCCTCGGTTTGTCAGTGGCACTGGATGGAGGGCCTGACAGTTGGAATTCGAAATAAGAGCAGAACACTGCGTGGTGTATGCCCGTCTTCATTTACCCAGTCGACGCAGAAGAGTATAGGACGTTATTGACACAGTATAAGTAACAAAGACATATTCTCCACTATGTTTCTAACGCATTGATTATAGCTTGGAATGACTAAATCAATTATGATCCGATCTATAAACATATTAATATGATTTTTATGCTGAATGCATGATTAAGCTCCCCCACATCGATGTTTTGTAAGTGTATAAGAATTAAAACACCTGTATCTTAACAACGGATAGACAAATTTATCTCTATTTGTACGTATATAGTCGAAATTGAAATTGGTATAGTGAATTCATGCCAAACTAAATACTATTGATTTGTCTTTCAGACAAAGCTCTTATTAATGTCCTTTAATATGACCGTACGGAATACCATAAACATTTAATAAAATCGACACAGGAGACGTAAGCGTTGACCAAAGTGTCTTGATAATCCAACAGACGATTTCTAACAGATACGTTTACGGTAAATAATTATAAGATACACCATATATATCACCATAATACTATTAAATATAATGTAGTATATGTGTTTACATCCTACCTGTACATGGCCCCTGAGTAGGTAATCACCTGAGTAAAATGACCTAGTTATATGTAACTACACAGCACTCAATTATATACAATAGCTATCTAGCGAAGATTAGACCAAGCCAACAGATACTACTATACGTTTTAGGAGTTAAAAAAAGACTGAATTCTTGTCACTTGTGTGATAATATATATTTGTTGTATTTTCTTGTATATGTGGTTGCTGAGAAATACAGAAGACGGGGGGGGGGGGGGTGTTTTCTATACAGTTTTACATACAACAAAAATATAAAATGAAAGATCGTTTCTCAGATGAAAGAATGAAATGGGGTTTACCCAACGGGGCTAATGACAACCGACATACTATACGGCATGCAGTGTGAAGAACGCTATTTAACACTCATATCGGCCATCAGAGTGAGAAAAAGATATGCGAAAGATGTTTTAAAAAATCAATTTCTAATAGCATATTCTGATAAACGGTATTAGTAGCTCAATATGTGTGTGTGTGTGTGTATGACATTATTTATGAATAGTCCCAAGACTATTAACCCAGTGTTGAAATCAATTTGTGTCGGCATACCTTTTATCTTTCTATCATTTACCGTGAAACAAAGTAGTGCAGCTTTGCGGTTATGCTAATAATTTTGGATACAAAATGTATGGGGACACTTTCGGTCCTCTCTATTGACAAAAACTATATTTCACGTGAACGCTGCTTTTTGTTTAACATAAGTATGTTTGGTGTGCATTATCTTTTTCATGGGTGTGGGAGCAATCTGAAGGCAAGAACCGCGACGGCGCAAACATCATGTTAATGTGCATTCAAATACATTAGTCACAACGTCAAACCACTGGTACGCTGCCAAGCGAATTTCTAAATTTGTCTTCACTTTTATATTGTGCATGTAGTCACGTTTTTCAAATCGAGGATCGGAGGGAAAGGCGGTGAATTCACTGATAAAAATTGCTCTTTATGACCTTGTATAGATAAGAACTTTGATTTTAAAAGAATGGTTTGCTTTCTTCTGTGCTTGTAGTTACACAATATAGTAGTACAACAGTTCTGTCATTTGTCCTGAAATGATTTTATATATTATGTTGATGCTGTTTACCTTCTAGATATATTTCACTCTTTGATAGAAGAACTGAAATAAATTAAAGGGGGTTTAACATTCTACAGTTCTACCTCGACCGGACTAATGAAGACGGGCATACGACATTCTGTGTTCTATGAGGGGAATTTTGCCCTGGCTGCTGCGCTACGGTCTACTCTTATATCGACTGCAACTGCGACATCAATATGTACACGGGTCCTCGGTTATCGTCCTATCCGAACGACTAAAATAATGTTGTCCCTTGCCAGGCCCTCAGTCCCGGAATTACGCCGGAAAATCCTACGAACTTTCTCGGCCAACGCAGGCATCGAACACGGGACCTCCAGGTTAACGAGTCAACGGCTTACTCACTGAGCCACCACGACTTTCCCTTTGATAGAAGAAGGTATATGCCTACATGATGTATGTTTATGTACGGCGAGCACTTCCACGTGTGTGATTACATAATTAGTAGTATGCCGCATTTTCGAAGTTTAAAGTCTAAGACAAGCAGTAATCGGCAGCAATGGGCACAGCAATGGAGAGTTGGAGGGCTATCCGGTAGTAATAAAAAAAAATTCAAAAATTAATTTATGTAGTATGAACTTAATTTATGTAGGCTAAACTTCTGTTCATTGTGTTTCTTTATCAAGATATTATGTCAAAATGTCTTCTGTTCAAAGATTGGTGTTTGTTTTCAAAAAACCCAAAAAAAACCCGAAAAAACATCTGTTTTTTGAAAATCGAATATGATTGGTGGGTGTGGAAATAGTTGGAATTATTGTCTGGGGTGAAAAATAGTCTGATACAGGCCCTGAAAGTAAACAGAGGTCAAACAATTTGCTTTGTTTTGTATAATAGTTCTAGTTTGTGTTATTTTCTCTTCTTTGAGTGGAATCAACCCGGTTTCTTTATAAATAAAATCGTGACTTGTGTCTGTGCAGTTTCAGGGTTATTAAAGGTGCATTATGAAGGAGCTATATCGGCCTATTGTAGATTTTTATTTTGACTATTATTTAGACATTTATTCACACGACATACCTATAATCAACCCTCTAGACTATTGGATGTCAGAGATTGAAACGGATCAAAACAAGGTCGCCATTTAATGATTTAATTTACAAATGGTGCATTGAAGCTAAGTTTCGAATAACAAGTACCGCTGTAAGATATTAACCAATATATGCCACATCTTGTCAAAACTTCAAACAGTGATAACTTCGCAGAGAATAAAGTAATTTGAATGAAATTTTCAATATATTCATTTTGCATTATCTATTTTTAAACTACAATAGCAAGAACGGCGAGCTCTTTATCCAAATCTTACATAATGCATCTTTACTATAATAACCACCAAACACTTCTAGACGAGCTGTAGTAGAGACGTGTTTTAGGTTTAGTCGCTGTATAATTAGTGTCTCTTTTATCATCGATTACGTCACTGATAATCATGTGACCTTTATAAAACCTTTCGGTAAAATAAAATCATTCGGTACATAAAGTGTATAATTTAGGCGGAAAATATGTATTAATTAGTGTAAACACTTTTCTGGTTAAATTATTTTCGTGTACAATGTTATTTTCCATCCTTCCTATTTCTCCCCTTTTGCATGCCTTTTTGATGTTGATTTCTTTTAAGTGATTTCTTTTAGGTTTAGACCGGTTAGCGCGAAATGAAATGAAATGAAATGGGGTTTAACGTGCTACTGTTCTGCTTCTAAACTGGGCTAATGAAGACGGGCATACGCCATACAGTGTGCTATGAGGGAAATTTTGCCCGGGCAGCGGCGCTACGGCCTACTCTTATATCGAATTCCAACTGCCAAGGGATCTTTTACGCGCACGCCAATTTGTACACGGGACCTCGGTTTTTCGTCCCATCCGAACGACTAGATAGCTGTCCTTGTCAGGCCCTGCATCACCGACAAGGGAAAACCAAGCCGGAAAATCTGGATGAACTTTCTCGGCCAATGCAGGGATCGAACACCCGACCTCCAGGCTAGCGAGCCAGCGTCTTACCCACTTAGCCACGTGATCCCCCTGGTTAGCGAGAAGCTGAGTTTATATCTTCTGCAAGTCTTTGGCTGTTAATTTATATTTATAGCACGGCTTTCGTGAGTTAACAGGTTTAAATAACATTGACACCTGCTCAACATGCTTGTTGTTATTGCACAGAAAACCCACCCACTTCTCTTTATGATTTCTACTAAAACTAGTGTAAACTAGCAAAAGAGTGCAATAACATTGAACATGTCTAGTTATTGCACGATTAAGCTCCACCCAATCTACTAGAAGTAGAACAATCTGCTTATTCAACGAAATGTAACGTGGGTGGATAGGAATGTACATGTATTGAAAACCCTGTCAATATACTGACGTCATGAATAACAGTATACTGGGTAAAAATATTAGACTCCACGAACTGTTCTGGATCTAACATTGCTGCCTGCTCCAACTCTTTGGAATGACAAACAATTGAACAATACATGACTTTCGGAAAATGTTAAAAACACACCTGTTTCAACAAGCTTATCCAGAGTGACATTAGAAGCGCTTAGAGCACGCCTTAAATTTTAACATCTCAAAAAACTAATCTATCTGTCCGTCTAATTCTCTTCTTTTACCACTTTTGTATGGTCAGTTTTGTCAATTTTGTGGTCTAGAATCGTAGAAGAGAGTTTAAATTGACAATTTTCTGTCAGTTTTTGGTAAATCATCACGGTTTAGAGACGGACTGGTAATAGGGTTAAGAGGTTGGTTAACGGTGATATGTTCGGCGTATGTTACCGTTTTTGTATCTCAAAATTTCAGTGGTCAGACTTGTACAAACTTTGGAGTAACGCCATAAGGCATAGCCAGCTGTTGTTCTCTCTTTAGTAAAAAGCGTTCAGTCCAACGAAAATCTTGTGAAAAGTTGGAGCCTGGCAAATAGACTAGAATTAACGTCAAATGGAAATTTAACGGTGGTCTTACTCCAGGTTAATAAGGGGAGTTATCTCCCCTGGCTATTACAATAATGTTGTTATCTCCCTTTGTTCGTCGATCGATTTCTTCTTTTTAAATCCTAAAAAAAAAGGGAGTCGTTGATCATTAATTAATCTCCAAATTAATTAATCATAAAACATATTTTTGATTGCTGTGGGTTTATTACGCAATACCCTCGTCAAGGTATCAGCCCCCACTGTAAAACTATACGCTGACAAATTCTTTTCTAGAAACATGTTACTTTAAATAATTTGAAAAGTTTGCAATTTTGTTGAACGAATGACCTATTAGGCATCATAGCCAAGTCCCCACATTTCGATTTTTTTTTTTTTTTTTTTTTTTTTACGCGAACTCTGGACATAAGAATTGATATCATGTAGAACTTTGCCAACATTTTCTAAATTATCTAAATAAATGAAAACACATTGTCCCGTGACACCCGACAAACAAATCTCAATGTTAATATTTCAAAAGTTTAAACATCTTATGATAGTATTGTCCATGTCATAACATTGGGACCAATCAAAACAATCTCCAACTCGTCGCACAATGCATCTGTGATGGATCCCGTTGATTCAAAATATAAAATGTATAATAACATTTTAGGTTATTATTAACCACGATGACCCGTCATTTTGTTTGTATACAAGTTTTAATTCAAAATATTTATCGGAAATAACATTTTTAATTTTTTACTACCGTATTCGTCCAATTTAAACCCACTTATTAAGGGTCGTTTATACTGAGTGCGAACGCGAACGTAACACTGACCACTGTGACTCTCCGCGCGAATCGTTCGTACTGTAAGCGGCGATACGCGCTAAAATTCTCAGATAAAACTGGCATATTGACTATTTTACCATGTATGCCTTTTACCCCGAACTTTGGCAAATGAAAATCGTCCTCGAGAATGATTCCCGTTTGCGTTCGCCGTTGGTATGTCGCATTCCCATTCGCGCCCAGTTTAAACGTCCCTTTAATCGCGTTAAAAAAAATAATCTGGACCGACGTCGTT